CCGCGCCCGCCCCCGCCATGCCGCCTACCGACGGCGGCCGCAGCAGCCCTGGCAGCGACGCCTGCGACGACTAAGACGCGCGCGACCAGCGGCGGCGTTAGCGCTTTGCGCTCGCCGCGACCGCAACGCCTCACTTGGTGTAAAAATCGGGTTCGCCTGACCCCTGGCGGGGTCTCTTCGAACAGTGGGCTTCCAGTGGGTTGTTGTTTGGGGTATTTTGACTTCTCTCCCCCGCACGGGATCGGGAGTCTGGGGTGTTGGCGGAAGGGTTAATTTATCTACGGAGAGAGGGGTTGTTTTATTAAGGTTGTTGATGACGGGGGAGGGAAGGGATGCGAGGGGGGAGAGAGAGAAGAGGTGGACAAGGATTTAGTCAGAGGAGGCGGCGGAGTTTTGTTGTCGACGACATGTACAGCGTGTCAGTCATTCTGTCAATTCGTTGTCGGTTTAATTTGTACTTGTTTGTTTTTGCCTTCTGGCTTAGGTGATAGAAGGGGAAGTTTGAGGATGTCTAAGGGGTGCTTTTTCCGGGTGTGTCAGGGTGGGGTTCTGAGGATGTGGTGGTGAGGAATGATTTGGTTTTGGAATAGAGGGTTGTGGATGTATTTTTGGATTTGGGCTATTGCGGAGTAGTGGAGGTGTGAGGAGTTGTGAGGATGTGGGGTATTTTGTTTTTGTGTCGGTTGGAGTTGTAAATGGTGTACATGGGTGGGCGGAAGATTAGGCAGATGTTGTGGTTTACCCCGCGGGTTACTTTGGTGCGGTTGGTGTGGAATGTAGCGAACCAAGTGGGATGGACATATGTTAGGATGGGACGGATATAGGAGTTGTAAGTTTGTTTTTTTCTTTTGGTGGCTATGTGGGGATTGGTGAGGATGCGATATAAGGTATTGGTGATCATGGTTTCTTTGACAGTTATTTTGTGGATGTGGTGGGACCAAAGTAGTCTGTGGGAGAAGGTTTTGCCAAGGTATGATATTTCTGGTGACCAGGGGATTGGTTCGTTTAAAATGGTCATGGGAGGGGGGTTGGATGGGTATGTTTTATAGGAGAACAGGAACTGCGACCGCAAGGAAACGGGTTGTACAGTACGCCTTACTCAATGCGGACTCTCAAGGGACCAGTGCATTATGCAATGTAATATTTTTGTATTCCAGCATTGTAAAATAACCTTTTATGTTGCAAGAAATCGTTCATAATCGGGCATTTTACGGCATAGACGATGACGAAATAGATCTTATGTCACGAATGATTGCGTCATCACACATTCAGACAATCGTAGAGAGAGAATCGGGGGGAGGTAGAGCTGAACGGAACAGCCGACCACCGTTTACTCGCACAATGTGAAATACCCGAGTCGACAAGGGAAGTTGTTTCGCAAAATTAAGTTTGATTCTCTTACAAATGTATAAAGCTATAATACAAAAAACTATAGTACGAAACTCGTCTATAATGTTGCTTCGTACTTGTTACTTCGTTGCTGTCGTACAAAATTTGAAAACTCGCTCCTGAAGTCGCTCGTTTTCAAAACATGGATGTGCCACGCTAAGCCAGTAATGATAACTGGACAAGAGAAATATTACATTATTTTTACCATGAATGTGAATAATGCCAAAACCTTAACTTTAAATTGTCGGCTGGAGTCGCCATGCTAAACTTGTAATGATAACAGACAAGAGAAATATTACATTATTTTTACCACGAATGTGAATAACGCAAAAACTTGAACATGAAATTGCCCGTTGAAGGCGCCATGCTAAGCTTGTAATGATAACTGGCCAAGAGTAATATTCCATTATTTTTTACCATGAATGTGAATAACGCCAAAAACTTAACTTTAAATTGCCCGCTGGAGGCGCCATGCTAAGCTAGTACTGATAACTGATGTTAAGATACCCGCACTCTTTGTATTGTTCATTAATACTGCCAGTATTGTGTTTAAAAT